ATGGAAGTGAAATCTGTTTCAGTGGAGGAAATCCTCCATTTTCTAACTGCTTTATCCAGCAGAGAATTGCAGGAGAGCTGGAGCCTCTCCTGGCAAGCAACGAGCACAAGGCAGGGTACTCTCTGGATGGGACCCCAGTCCATCGCAAAGCACACCCAAGACACACACTCACACCAGGGGCAAGTCTCAGTGCGTTATATTTTGAGATGTATTTGATAAATTACAACTCACTGTCCAGTCTTTGAGAATGAGCAGCCTTTGATAAGGAGCGTTCTGAGCAGAAGAGGTATGGAGTTTGTGTGCGTTATCTCTTTCCAGTCTTTCACTGAGAAGGCTGTGCGGAGACCTGATTCAAGTATTGGGAATCCTCAAGGACACCGAGTTGACTCAGGTCAACTCCTTCAGGATCAACAGCAAGACATGAATCAGCGGTACGTGTGGACATGTGTCTCATCGCTCCACTGTACATCCTAAGCTGTATGTTTTTGTTTCATTTTTACTTTTTAGTGTACTTTTTTTTGTCTTTATCACTATGTGCAGCGTCCTTGGCTTTAGAAAGGCTTTAAAGATGAAAGTTACTATTATGGTTACTTTTAAAACTGAGAGCAGGAGGCATTTCTGTACTCAAGCTACAAAACTACATTGGCCAGATAGACGTGCCTCCTCCCGCCTGGAAACACACTCAACACGTGCTACCAAACAAACATACAAAGGCGTAAATACAAAAGGAAGTCATGCGGAAATATTATTAACAAAATAAGTAAAAGACGATAAAAAGACACTTGCGGCGCACTTAGAGGTGAGAGTAAGAGAAGGTGGAGTTGGATATGACGGAGACCGACTACGACTGAGAGGAAAGTGACAACTTTCTTCTTCTGACGTGTTCGCATTATGAGAATCACAGGATATAGTATTGAAATATACTATCCAGAAACGTAATAGTTAAAATGCGTTTTTCTTTTTTGTACCTAAAATACACGAGATTTCTTTAACAGCTGCATTTAGTTTTAACATCAAGACGACCCGAGCTACTCATTTTGTTTTTTCTAAGAGGATCTCTAAGTTTTTTCTAAGTGTATCTTATACTGCATAACGTTATTCGACCTATTTTCACACAGACACATAGCTACGATATACTGTAAGCAGCAGCAGCCGGGGGGCAGAA